TCATACGTTGCTGGTGGGAATATAAAATGGTACAGCCACTTTGGAAAACAGACAGCAGATTCTTAAAAAATTAAACGTACATTTAGCTCTTCACAGTAAATTAAATCTACCTTCTAAGATAGGCATCAGAAAACAATGGCCCATAAACCAAATGTAGCCCATAGACTGTTTTAGTATGGCTTGGGAGCTAATAATAGTTTTTACCTGTATATTTTTAAAGGGTTGTTAAAAAAAAAAAAAAAAAAAAAGAAAAATCTGCTTCAGAGACTGCACATGGCTTGCAAAGCCTAAAATATTTATTATCTGGCCAACCCTTTTGAAAGTCAGTGGCTTTCAAACTATTTGGACCATAACTCACAGAAAGAAATATATTATATGAGGGTACTTCAAAAAGTTCGTGGAAAAATAGAATTGAAAGATAATATAAATCTTCCCACGAACTTTTTGATGTACCCTTATACACCCAAACCAATAGTCCATCTGCCTATCGATCATTCTTCTATTTACAACTAAAATAAACGTTTCACAGAACAGCAGCCTTCACTATCACTTAGGCCACCCCTTCCTTCACTTCCTTCCCTTTTCTTTCTATCCCAAGCCATTCTTTTAAAAAAATATTGTTCACAATCCACAAATAATTACTAAAGAGGTTCAACTCAGCACTTGAAAAAAAGTAATGACATTAATATCAACTTAAAGAAAGATTCTTTAAAATGTATTGTTTTACCTAGAATAGTTTCCACTTGTGAGCCAGTCAATAACGAAGTGCTGATTTTTTTCATTATAACCTTTGCTGTTTAGAGACTTTTGTCTCTTCTCTCTGATTCTCTTCCCTTTACAAACTCCCTCTTTAAACAATCTCTGTTCAGTGTTTCTCTTTATTCTCCTGTTTTATTAATAACCCTGTCCATTTCTGGCACGTTTAACACAGACTCAGTACGGAGGCTGTGGTAGACACCCCTGCACCCTCCCCACATGCCAGACAGAGAATCAGCGTGGGCAGACTCAACACACTTGTGGGCTCCTCTCCCCTGCTGGCCAGTGGTAATCAGAATCATCATCAAGAGGAAAGCCGAGCTAAGCTACACTCCCTGGGTCTGACCCAGCTGCACAGCAATTTAGCAATGGAGCTGGAAACCACATCTGAGTGTCCTACCTCATTTTAGGACTTTGCAACAAACACCAGAGAATTTGTTCATAGGTGACTTGAAAAAGGATTGAGCACAGAAAAGACATACGACTAGTATTCTGCTGGTTGATCCAGACAAACAAGTGACCTGCATAAAAACTACCACCTCTGAAGCCTTCCACACCTAGCTAGGATTTACCCTTCACTGTAATTTCCTGATACGCTACGCTGTTTAATTAATTGTTATCTCTTCTAACTTGACAGCCTACTACAGAATTTACTCCAGAATATTTCTCCTGACCAAATCCACCCAAACCTGATTACTACTTTATCCAGCACCTTAGAGAAATTTGATCTGCACTTGAAGGAATCTCAGAGCTAAAAGGAACCTCGGACACCATGCAGTGCTCCAGTTCCTCTGAGACAGGAGCTCCACAATTGTGGGCTCTAGAGGAGACACCCACGGGTCCCACCAGCATGGGCACATGCCCACATGGTGACCCAGGCAGGGTCCTAACCTGCCTCAATGAGTCACACCTTTCTCACCATAACATAGTCCCCGGCAGCTACTAACAATTCAACAAATAGTAGCTATTATTGTTAATAATAATTGTACTATGCTTTAGAAACTAGACCTTAGAAAGGTTAATATGACTTACCCCAGGTTAGTAATAGCTGGGCAGGGGCCCTCACCATGTCTCTCCTGGATCACAACAACAGTTTGCTAAGTGGTCTCCATAACCCCCTTTCAATTCATCTTCTATACCGTCCCCAGAATGGTCCTTTTTAGAAAACAAATGTGATTAATACTCCCATGCTTAAAGTCTTCAGTGGTTGCCAGTGTTCACAGGATTAAGTCCTAGCTCCTTAAAGCAGCTCACTCAGTGAGTGACCTTCACAATTTGTCCCTAACCTGCAGAGTATGCATAAAGCAAATGTACTTCACAGGGCCTGGTTTTCCAAAGCCTTGCAATTTCAAATATTGACCTTGCAAAAGACAGAAAAATTTTCCCAGGCTATAGTCTCTGTTGTAAGATAAAGAATTGTAGCACAGGAAGGTTGCTGGCTCAAAGACAGACAGGTTACTGAAAATTACATTATGGAATGTCACCTTGCTTGTCCTACTGAATGTTACCAGCTGCTATTGTTAAACTTGTTAAACTATACTTAGCAAAAACCCCACCTATGTTCTCTTCCTGTAACTTCCTAGTCTGGAGAACAAATGCAGGAAGAGAACCCCAATTCAGGGCTAATTTCCCAAATGGAAGGAATGCCTCGCTCCTGAGGGTTGCAGGAGATTAACCTCTTTTCGGGGCTTCTCACTGCTCAGAAGAGATGGGCTTTGAGTAATCTTTCCAGGAGATTAACCTCTTTTTGGGGCTTCTCACTGCTCAGAAGAGATGGGCTTTGAGTAATCTTTGGTGGCTCCGTCACCCAGGGGAAAAGGGGTGACAGATCTGTGGGAGGTAAAGCAACACTAACTTATCCTTCAAGTGTCATCTCTACCCACCACCCCAAAGGATGCTGTGCTTAAGCAACACACAAGCTCCTCTCTCCCTCAGCAATGCTGCATTCTCACACCTCTATGCCTTGGTTCTGGCTCTTCCTCTGCCTAACACAGCCATCCATCTGTCTTCATCTGGCCAACTCTAGCACCCAGGCCCCAGCGCTCTCTCCTGAGAAGCAGTCACCGTCCTTTCCTGTGCCCCCTCCATGCCCTCTGCTGTGTTGGTCCTCAACACTGTTTTCCCCAGTCCTTTGTTTTATGTCTGACTTACTGACTCTATGTTGTCCCAGGGTAGGTAGGTAGCTGCTTCCCATTTATCTTTTGTCCACATGACCTAGCTCAGTACCTATCACAGAGTGAGTGCTCACTAAGTAGCTTTGGAATGAACACATAAATAAATTAGCAAATGAATGGATGGATGGTTAAATCAATTAATGAACAAACAGAACTAAGCACTTCTAGGTCCCGGGTTGTTTCTCGTTTCATTGTATCTCCCCTTGCATGCCTACTAATTGTTCTGGAAGCATATTCCTACGGTTTTCACTTAAGTATACGATGTCCCCTGAATTAAATTACAAGCTTCTTAAAGGTGTGTGCATCCCCTACCTTTGGTTTTCAGTTTCTCAGATCTAAACATATCAGGGTTTGGTGAAGTTTCTGAATGCTCCCATTTGCAACATACTTGCATGACAAGAACTTTCTTCACTTGTTATAAGGGAAGTTATTGCAAAGGTTTTATTTCAAAGGGTGTGTTGTAACAAGATGTTATCCTAGAGCAGTCATGAGAAAGAAATAATCCCCTGATTCATTCTCTTACTTAAAGTAGAAGAGAAAACATTTTGGGTTCTATCTCTTCAGATGTTTAAATGAGACTCTGCATTTTAGTAACCAGAACTTTCAAAAGAGAGATTATTTTCTTGCATAAAGCATGAAAACGTGGGCTCAATGGAAAAACTACTTTCAGTCTCTCTCATGTCTTTGCCAACCTTTTAGAAATATTTCTAAAACAAATATAGTGCTACATTAAGCTTGAATTTATTCTCATAAGTATTTACAAACTATTCAACCAAAGAAATAGCTCCTAAGTATGAAACTTTTTTTATTCTTGGTAACTGACCAAAAAGACAAAATTTGGCAGGAATATAAAGAGTAGGATTAAGCTCCTGCACAAATATGAGCACGCTGGCCATCACATACCTTATCTATTGACTCCAGATCAACGATTCTCAGCCAAGAGAGATTTTGCCCCCAACTCTCGTCTCAACCACAGGGCATTTGGCAATGTCTGAAGGCATTTTGGTTGTCACAACTGGGAAATAGCTACTAGCATCTAGTGGGTAGAGGCCAGTGAGGCTGCTAAATACCCCACAATACACAGGGCAGTCCCCCACGACAAAGAAATATCTGGCCCAAAATGTCAATAGTGCCAAGGCTGAGAAAGCATGCCCTAGAATTACAGATTTCCATATAACTGAAGCAAACAGTAGAAGATGGGTTTATATTTCTATAACTCTCCCCTGCTCCCAAAATCTAGAACTAGGAGAGAATAAATTATGATGGTATTTTCATGGTTCATATCTAAGCTACCATGTGGAATGAAACAGGATAGAAAAAAATAAGAGGCAATACAGGCAACTAGTTTCTTAGAAGAAAAAAATATTTTAGACATTTCCATTTCCACTGTAGCCAATGTTGGCATCTGTGATGGGCTTTAACGGTCCAGGCAGATGGGTAATTGGAACTGAAGTCAGACTAAAAAGCCTACGCTAACTTCAGGAGTAAAATTTCCCAAGAGCTAAATGAGTTTTAGACATAAGACTTCCAGTGGCTTTAATAACTGTCATAACATTCATGAACATTTTTAAAGGGGGTCAGAAAGTTGGAACTTGATGTATCTCCAGGACAGCTCACCAGACCCAGTCATTACACAGGATATTTGAATAGTAAGAGGCAAATAGAACTGTGTCAACATCAAAGGTCAATTCAGAAGAAGTATATTCACTGGATCTGGTGACAGACATACCAAAATGAGGACAGACACCCGAGGAAGATGATTTTCCATTACCTCTACAACTCTATTTGCACTGCAGCATAATCTTTACTAAAATGAATATCTGGGTATCTGCTTCCAAATGGAAAGACAAAAACAAAAGTGTTCAAGCTAAATATTTTAAGAATATATTTGGAGGCCAAGTTTTTGAAATGCCTTTCATTAGAAGCTATTAGTTAATTGGTTGAGACTTTGGCCAAACCATCTGTGGGTAATGCCAGTTTTCATAACATATGATTCTCGAACAGCACTACATTATTGTATATTTCTAAACCCAGAGACTCCAGACAAAATTCCCACGGACAAATACTAACCACCAATCCGTGATAAAAATCTCTTCTTTTGCCTCTTCCATTGCATCTGCCACATCTTCAAAATATCCTTTGGCATTAACATACCTGAAAGACAAGTTTTTTGTTTCTTTTGTTTTGTTCTATTTTTGTTTTACAAAAATAGAAAAAGAAAGAAAGAAAGAAAGGAAAGAAAAGAAACATCCTGTGCTAAAGCAAAACATGGAAACTACTGCCTAGAACCTCTACATAATCACCAGTTTACTTTGTGTAACTGAAAAACAAAGATTGAAAATACCACCTGCTGTCTACTATCCAGGAAGGGCAGTAAGTAGATAGATGTAAGCAGCCTGATTTTTCTCTGCTTAGGGAACAAATTCACTGAACCTCATCAGCATATGGGGCCAGGTGAATTCGATCCTATTGAGCTCACACATGGCTTTTCTCTGAGACTGAAAATAGACCAGTTTCCAATCCATGGGTAGAAAAACATGCCAAGCATAATTTTACTTAAATATCTAGCATGTAAATGCTTTTTCTTAAACTATGGCTAATGATAAATAAACTTTCCACTTGCATCATTAAGAAAATGTATGGGACTAGCAGTTAGCTCACTTGAGAGAGCGCGGTACTGGTAATACCAAGGTCAAGGGTTTGGATTCCCATACTGCCAGCCACAAAAAAGAAAAAGAAAAAGAAAATGTAGGAAGTTACCTTTAAAAATCAAACTTCAAAATATAAAGTTAGCTAAGGTTACTATGAAAAATCTTAAAAACAAAAATTGAAAACCTAGTCTATGATCAGGTGGTCCCATAACTGCCTCAGAAAGAAAGGTCCTTGTTAAGTATAATGCATAATATCTGTTCACGCTTTTGAAAATCAGTTCCAGAAGAACTTAGGCCAGTATACTATCAGATGCCATGACTACCTTGACTGTCTCAGAGCAAAAATATCTTACCATTTAGCTAAAGTGTTCTCTTGGATAGCAGCATATGACCCAAATCGATGATCTTTGAGAAAGTTGGTGCCGTGTTTCTGGATGAATTCTTCTATGGCCCCTCCCCACCATCGAGCATGTCTATAGCTGTTGCATTTTAAAATAAGTGTCCTTTAAAGAAAAGCAAAATGTGGAAAAGAAGGGTCACTTTGTGTTCTCTCTTAAACCAAATGTAAGGATTAAACATGCCCTGTTTTATTTAGTAGTATAGTAAACATAAATTGAGTTTAGGCAAAAAATAGAGGTCTTTTAAAATTTTTGGGTAGGATTTCTAAAAATATTCAATATATCAAAAATAAAATTTCATTCATTCACTCATGCGAACATGCATAAAGGTACTTACTACAGACCTAGGGCTGCAGTAGGCCATGAGGAGACAATGAAAGAGGTATAAGGTGAGCTCCTACGTCTAAGTGCGAGGTAGAGAGGTGTGGACTTCTCTGGAGGACGTGTCCTTTGTGCTGCCTAGTGTCCATTCCCTCAGCTTTTGGAAGCATCATCCTGATTGTGCTTTAGGAGAGCCATCCCTTCCCTTCTCTGGGTCTACCAAAGCTGAGCAAAATGGCATATTCCATTCCCCTGATCCCAGAAACTGCTTCAGGCATGAGCCAATTCCACCCCATGAGCGAGAGCAAATCCAAGGACTTGCTCAGGAATGCCAGAAGAGACTCTCTCCCTTCCACTGGATATGGTGGGAGTGTGGGAGGCAGCAATGTTGCTACCACAAGGGGCCCAGTCTGAGGATGGAGCAGACCCACAGAAGACAGAGCTGAGCAAAGCAGGGAAGGAGAGAGTTTGAGCCCCAGAATCAGCCATGCACCAATGTGGCTGATCTTTCTGGTACAAGCCAGTTCGCATTGGATTTTTCTGTCACTAATGACCAAACTATCCTAAACATACAGATTTATAAATGCTAAAAAAAAAAAAAAAAAAAAAAAAAAAAATCAGTGTAGATTTCAGAAAGATTTTTGATGCCAATTGTCAGAATCAGTGACTACCACCAAGAGTTGAAAATACGTTATCCAAATGTGAAGCTCAAAGGAAGACAGAGTGTTGGAGCCATATGTCTCCCTTCCAGGAAGTGGAAATCCACCACCAAAGCAATATAAGAAGATGACGGTAAGTGAGGAGGGAGAGTTTGCTTTTTGGTAGGAAATGCAATGATCCTGATGAGAAGCAAGGAAAAGACTATGTTCATAGACTCTAAAATAATTATTTATAAAAATTAGGGATGTCCAATTGCTCCCCTTTATATTTCAGAGATGGATGCTGGCCTTTGGATGCTGCCAGGGCATGGGGACGGGGAGGTATGACAGGAAGCACCCTCCACTGGTGTGACAAAAGGGACATGGGTGTTGGGGGCTTGGGCCACCAGCAAGGACTACTACAAATGAGTTGAATATTTCGATAATGAGAAGAAGAGTTTGTGGAAGAAATATGTGACAAGGAGAGGCCTTGTCGCTGGATGTGAATCCGAGTTAAAGTAAAAGAAAAGAACTGTTCCAAACATGGAGCTAGGAAGAGAAAGGTGAAGAGGCAAGAAAGTGCGTGTGAGAAGGGACGGCAGAGAGCACTGCCTCCACAGAGCCATGCTGGGGAGGGCTGCGCATAGAGACACAGAGATAAAGAGCCTTAAACTCTAAATGGAGAAATGGGGCTTCTTTGATAAAATGAAGGGGGCACTTATACCAGGGAAGAGGCTGATGAAACCTGGATTTGAATGGATTCATTCGGCAACTGTGCATGAGTGAGGGTGGGAAATGGAGGTAGGGTGGCCAGTAAAGTAAGTGCTACAGGGACCAATGGGAATTGTGGCCTGACTTCTGTGACCCTCTGAAAACAGGAATGCAGTACCACGAGTAAGGTTTAATGGCAGCACCATGGCATTTCCAACAACAAATCCTGAACGTTCCAGTTTCAGAAAATATAGGAAGTTCAGCTTCTTTTTTTTTTTTTTTAAAAAA